TTGGAAAAGATTGAAACACAGATCAGAAGGAACACTGGGTGATGTTAATGGCAATTTCAATGACAAAAACCAAGAATTGAGATTTAAGAATTGATGTTGATTTTGTTTTACATTTATAACTCCATAAATGTTAAACTACATTGAAGTCAATTCCTATAAATAGATATGTCAACAAAAATAACTTCACTGACTGTTTATTAAATCATGAACACACAAAAAACTGTAGACAATAATATGAAATCCATGACATCGCTCAGTGCTGTAATGCAACGCAAGCCCCACCAATTCTGTTAACAACCAATCAAGAAGCAGTAGAGTGTAAGGGGATGTGGACTAGTTTTTTTGTTTGTTTTTTTCCCCCTATGCAATACATACAGAAGCATTGCTTCTAATCATTTAGACCCTTCGATCTTAGCATACATTGAGAAACTTCAGAGAGTTTGAATGCATGATCGTTCACAAATACCCTCGCTACAACCCCCCGACAAAACGAGGAAATCCACATCCAAACTATCATAGTATCGACTCGATCCGTGTCTAGATTCACAGTGACAGTCTACAGCAATCTTAGAACTGACCTTAGTATATATTTCACACATCCTTATAATCACCTTTGAATGATGTGCCAATTGATCAATGATGACTAACACTTGTAATCACCACAGGTTCGTGGACCACTTCAGAAATCTCCCCTGTCACATTTATCGTGCCATTTTGATGTCTTGCACTTATTGAAAGTGTATTACGATGTGCTATCACTGTGACCTTTCTCATCTAATGATAATATTATTTGAGTATATTTGATGTAAACAAACTACAAAAGATGTCACCATAGAAGAATGTGAGCATACATACGCTCATGTCACATCTCCTTTTAAGGAACTACTTCATTCGACGATGGTTGTTGAATGGCTGTGTAAACATGAAGTCACATATATTAAATGAAATCGTGTATAGTTCTGCATCCTTTGAGGTAAAAAATAGTGATGTAAAAAATTATAAGAATTGACTTTCACTTTGTGTGAGTTCAAGCTCCCACATTCATACAGTTTGGCCTTCACTCTAGGAAGGTTCATACTCCAAAGAACTCCCAGAAAGGGAATGTCATTTTGCACTAAATGTGAAAAGAAAATAGAAAATGAAAACAAGTTGGTGTTGTATACTTTTATGACTGACCCTAACTAAAATTTACTAAATTGTAAATCTGAAAATCACAAGTCCATGCTCTACACATGCAATTTAGACCAAAGACCATAAAAAAGACTGAATACTGACATCAAAAAACAACAAGTTTTTGAATACTGACATCAAAAACCAACAACAAGTTTTTGGACTGGGAGGTAGTCTGCCCAGGAAAGTATTCCTTTTGTACAGTTTCTTTTAGGAGGAGGATAAAATGTACAAGCTTTAAAAATATTTACTCGTATTTTAATAATGATGGACCCGTGAAGATTCGGGGTAGAAGAGGTCTTCAGCAACCCATGCTTGCCGTAAAAGGTGACTATGCTTGTCGTAAGAGGCGACTAACGGGATCGGGTGGTCAGGCTCGCTAACTTGGTTGATGCATGTCATCATATCCCGATTGTGTGGATCAATGCTCATGATATTAATCACTGGATTGTCTGGTCCAGCCTCAATTATTTACAGACCCCTGTATATAGCTGGTATATTGCTGAGTGCGGCGTTACACAACAAATCAACCAATAATGATGACTCCCTGATTAGAATCTGACCTTAGCAATGTCAGACAAGTCCATTTTATGAACAGGTGGGTTTAGTATTGGTATTTCCCACATATTCTCACAGTCCTCTAGTCGATTATCTGTACCATTTCTCCAAATACCGATTGTCATATCTCTCCCACTTTTGGATGCAATCATTCAGCCACTGAGTTTATCTACATTGCCCAGCTAAACCTATTAGGATCAACACACTAGACACTTCCCTCTAAAAATAGCTTTGTCCAATTTACGTCATCAAGTTACGAGCGCATGTTCGAATTCAAGAAATGACGTCATGATAGAAGAATGTTTTATCGTGAAATAAACCATGCTTCGTTCTTCATTGTTCTTTGTGATTTATCGCGTAGCTGTCTTATGTTACTTAATAACCACCATCGATGGTACCTGAGTTATATAATAACATGAATAATACAATTTACAGTACTAGATGTACAGCAAGATGGCATATATGGTAGAATGATTCACATTAGTGCATTCAAATGTCCGAGAAACTTTAACAGTTTGTTTTTTAATGTAGATACTTTACAATTTGTGAACAGTTTTCGATATTTAATTATGGTCGGCCAACTTGTGTGGTATTCATTGATACATTCAGTGCATAAGGCTAAATGTGAATTACATCTAATAAATAGTGGAATTCGTCACTAATTACTTGGGAGTCACACAATGAACACATCCTTTGTTCTCAAGGTATATTTTACCATCAGCCTGTTTCTATTGGTAGTGTATGGTTACCAGTTCTAAAATACAGTGAAGCTTTAGAAGTGTGATCAGGAAGAAGTTAAAATTTCACAAAGTATGGGCAATCTTCAAAGAGTCTATAAGACAAAAAAATATCTGACAATAGCAATCACCTGTACCAAAATGCTACGCTTATGGTAATAACACGATATTGGAACATAAAATTCTGATAAAATAATTTCAGATACAATTTCTTCCTACAATTGGATCAAAATGTTTTGAAGTTGTATCATTGGGTACTTTTTAACTGAATCACTGGTAGATGCGGGAGGAAATGTGTATAAACGTGTATGTGTATTAATTTTTGTGTGTTTTGCTTTAGCCAAGATGGCGGACGTTTCTGAGTGAAAATGTATATAACGAACTGATTTCTTCGGTCCCTTGTAGTTCATTATGTCCATGTTCTACTGTATCACAGTTAATGTTATCAATTGTGTTCTGAAGCTGGGTTGGACGTATACAATACAATGATACTGAAAGTTTCAAGCAGAGAAATACATCATCACTGTTGCACTCTAAGTTATTTCTTCGCATGGGTGATTTTGAAGAAAACTTTCCTGGTGGTAAAGGGAAACAGGAAAAAGGATGGGTGATAGATTTTTCCCCTTGCCGGACTCCGGACAAACAGGATTTGATCCTTATAATTTCATCCCATAGGCCTGTTCTCCATATTTTATCAAAAGCCTTGGAAAAGTCGACAGGACAGAATAGTTTCCTTTTTTTATGTTTAATTGAGGTGAGAATAGTTTGAAGAATGAAAACATTATCAACAGTTAAGAAACTTTCACAGAAGCCTGAATGTGTGTGAGAAATTAATTCAAAATGATCGAGATGTCTTGCCAATCTGTCATTTAATATGCTGGTGAAAAGTTTTCCTAAAGCAGCTTAATAGTGAACTGGGTCTATATGAATTTTGGTCATTTACGTTGCCTTTCTTCTTAAAAACTGGTCTGATGATAGAGATTGATTTTTACTGTTGTGTTCAAAGACATAAAGCTCTGATGGAGAAAGTTTGGCATCTTCTCATCAGATATCTTGTTATATGAGGCACTGATGTAATGTCTGTCTAACATCACACAGGAAGCTAGTCCAACACCTGATTCCCAATCAGATAGTCAGCACAACTGTCAATGGGATTGGTGACAACATCATTCATTCATTTCATGTCAATTTATCATGTGTTATTTCCACACTGGGATGTTATTTACAAGAAGGTCTTCCAATTTGCTGTTCAGTTACGATGCAGTGGTGATTTGTGGCCACTTGACAGCTAGCTGGTAGTGTTTCAGCCCTGTCTTTTGTTTGCTTGACTGATAGCATTACCACCACTAAACACGCTTCAGTGACTTGTAGCAGTATCATAACTGCCATTGATTTCCACAAGTGGAGTTCGATAAGAGTGATAAACGACACAGGTTTCTCAATTATGTTGGGTTAATAAATACACATATGCTGCATGCAGTTGTTAAAGCACATTAAGATAAAGTCTTTAAAAGTCATTTAGAAGTGATACACATATTTAAGAGAATTTATGGATGTCAACTTTATTATGAATAATAATAATAAAGAAATTGACATCCATAAATTCTCTTCCTCATTAAGATCAAGCCTGATATTTCAGTGGGTGTCCCTGCCTCAAGTGGAGGACTGTAACAGTGCATGTAGATCTGGCTAGATAATAACAACTCACTCATGACTCACTTGAAAATCGGTTGATTCTTCTTAATGTTTGGAATGGATGCAATATCTAATTCAATTTTGAAAGTCTCATTGAGATGTTAGCTCCAAAATGTGTATGGTAACAAATAACATACACAATCTAGATCATCATAATGTGTTCTACAACATCTAAATGAAAACATTACAAGTTATTCTTAACACCTGGCAGAACATTATGTGTTTCTACAACACCTAAGTGAACACACTTATGAACGCCAATTTTGCGGTCATGTGACCGACCTCTCGTCCAATGGAAAAGCTGTATATTGTGTAAACCTAAAATTAAAAAATTATGTGTAAGTGAATCTGTGATGATACTTTCTACTTTGACTTAGTTGGTTGTGTGTGCTTGTATTTAATGTTCCCCACTGTTGTACGTTTTCCCATTTGTCTCATAATTGCATGCTATTCATTGTCCAATGACTCGCCATCACATGGTTTCTTATAATATTGAAAATAGTTCCAAACCTCACTTGTCTCTTTTACTGAATACTGTGTGGAAGTTCATGATTTTGATATAAACCATAAAAACATCCAAAAAGACTTAGTATAATATATAACACATTTGGAGGCAATCATTTCCCTGTTATCCAATGGTTAACTTTGTCCTACAAGATACTAATAATTTCACCAACTCAGATATGCTGAAGTCGTTCAGATAATGCCGGAGGACTGGCCAGGGACAATGGTTATTAGCAGAAGGCACAATTACATCATTTACTGTTCTAATTGTCAGCCTATAAGTCAGGTGATGAAGTAACCCTGCATGTGTGCTCTAGTTGTGACTGTGTGTTGCAGCATCCAGTGGAGCCGCGTTGCAGGGTGCGAAACCAGGTGGGACAGACCAACCGCTGGCGCCTCCCGGAGTCCTTGTACAGTGACCTACTGGGCAGCTCGCAGGCAGTGAAGGCCATCACCATGCCCTACAACCGCAGCATGATCAACATCATCACTGGTACGTCTCGCTCCTGCTCCCGACAAGAGTGGAGAGAGGTGGTCAGCACTCACAAGAAGGAGAAACCAGATAAACCCAAATCTACTGAGACTAGATCCAAGAAAAAGAAAGTTAGCTTAAGCAGTGCAAGCCCTGAGGTTCTGGGGGAACTGGAAGTTTATTCATATGCTGAGAGTAATTAGATTTTCTGGTATCAAAAATAAAGTGTTACACCAAGATAAGAGTAGGTAGAATTTTGATTTATGTGATACAAATCTGCCGAGCTTCTCAGGTCTTGCTATGTGTTTGTTCTGTGACTTGTGGATGTAGTTGTGTACAGATGTTGGCACTCTCTACTGGTCATGTCCTTCAGCCGAGTCTCCGAAGCTATCCACCAACCTAGACCTGTCCAAGCCCTACACATTCCGAGTCTCCAATGACAGACCTCAAACACAGCCAAACTTGATGCCGTCCCAGGCGTCTAAAGGATCCAAACTGCTGACTCATGACTTTATGTCCTCGTCAGTTTCACCGACTTTGCCCGCTTCAGCTCCGAGTAGACCCCGAAGGTGGGTTGCATGTCGTGTTGGTTGCATGCTGTGCTGATTGTGTCCTGTTGCTTCTGTGTCTCCTGCTTGTTCCCAGTCATGTATTGCAGTTCTGTGACATTGTTGGTTGTTATTTAATCCTTTATTTCTCATACACTTCAGAGCTCTCTGTAATCGTGTGGGCTGCATGTCTTCTGTATGCATTATCATGTACATTTCAGCTCTCTGAATGTTGCTTGCAATTTCTTTATATTTAACTTATGATTATTATTTTTGTTGAATGTATATTGCTTGAATCTTTTGCATACATTTCAACACTCTCTAACATGTTGGTTGCATGACTTTGCATGCTCTCATACGTTGCAGCCCCCTCAAATGTGATGGCAGCATATATATTGTCTCACATACATGTCAGCTTTTTCTTTATTTTTGGTTGCATGTATATTGCCATTGCTTTCTCTCTAATTGTGTTGCTTGCATTCTTGCATACATTTCACATATTTCATCATTGTCTCATGGTGTTGGCTGCATGTGTATTGCTTGTATTCTTGGATGCATTTCAGCTCTTTCTAATGTTGGTTGCTTTCATTCTCACATACATTTCAGCTCTTTCTAATGTTGGTTGCTTTCATTCTTACATACATTTCAGCTCTTTCTAATGTTGTTGGTTGCTTTCATTCTTACATACATTTCAGCTCTTTCTAATGTTGTTGGTTGCTTTCATTCTCATATACATTTCAGCTCTTTCTAATGTTGTTGGTTGCTTTCATTCTCACATACATTTCAGCTCTCTCTAATGTTGTTGGTTGCTTTCATTCTCACATACATTTCAGCTCTCTCTAATGCTGTTGGTTGCTTTCATTCTCACATACATTTCAGCTCTTTCTAATGTTGGTTGCTTTCATTCTCACATACATTTTTGCTCTTTCTAATGTTGTTGGTTGCTTTCATTCTCACATACATTTCAGCTCTTTCTAATGCTGTTGGTTGCTTTCATTCTCACATACATTTCAGCTCTCTCTTATGTTGTTGGTTGCTTTCATTCTCACATACATTTCTGCTCTCTCTAATGCTGTTGGTTGCTTTCATTCTCACATACATTTCAGCTCTTTCTAATGCTGTTGGTTGCTTTCATTCTCACATACATTTCAGCTTTCTCTAATGTTGTTGGTTGCTTTCATTCTCACATACATTTCAGCTCTCTCTAATGTTGTTGGTTGCTTTCATTCTCACATACATTTCAGCTCTTTCTAATGTTGGTTGCTTTCATTCTTACATACATTTCAGCTCTCTCTAATGTTGTTGGTTGCTTTCATTCTCACATACATTTCAGCTCTTTCTAATGTTGGTTGCTTTCATTCTCACATACATTTCAGCTCTCTCTAATGTTGTTGGTTGCTTTCATTCTTACATACATTTCAGCTCTTTCTAATGTTGTTGGTTGCTTTCATTCTCACATACATTTCAGCTCTCTCTAATGCTGTTGGTTGCTTTCATTCTCACATACATTTCAGCTTTCTCTAATGTTGTTGGTTGCTTTCATTCTCACATACATTTCAGCTCTCTCTAATGTTGTTGGTTGCTTTCATTCTCACATACATTTCAGCTCTTTCTAATGTTGGTTGCTTTCATTCTTACATACATTTCAGCTCTTTCTAATGTTGTTGGTTGCTTTCATTCTTACATACATTTCAGCTCTTTCTAATGTTGTTTGTTGCTTTCATTCTCATATACATTTCAGCTCTTTCTAATGTTGTTGGTTGCTTTCATTCTCATATACATTTCAGCTCTTTCTAATGTTGTTGGTTGCTTTCATTCTCATATACATTTCAGCTCTTTCTAATGTTGTTGGTTGCTTTCATTCTTACATACATTTCAGCTCTTTCTAATGTTGTTGGTTGCTTTCATTCTCATATACATTTCAGCTCTTTCTAATGTTGTTGGTTGCTTTCATTCTCACATACATTTCAGCTCTCTCTAATGTTGTTGGTTGCTTTCATTCTCACATACATTTCAGCTCTCTCTAATGCTGTTGGTTGCTTTCATTCTCACATACATTTCAGCTCTCTCTAATGGCAATGGATGTATGTCTACTGCCTGCATTACCACATACATTCGATTGCTCCCAAACAGAGTTGGTTTCAGAGTTGCTTCAGCCCTGTAATGGTCATGGATGAATATGTGTGTTGCTGGCATTCTCGCATACTTCTCAGTCCTATTTTGATAATGGCTTTTGTTGCATGACTGTTGTCAAAAATTTGAATTTCTTTAGAGTTGTGAGAGTTCCAGGCTGCATAAGTTGTTGTTCCAAATTAGATGTATGACATATGCCCTCCCTCAGCTACCGGAAGTGCAGAAGTTCACGTATAATCACATCACAGTGCTAGTCATCGGACTGTACAGACGTTTGAGATAGCATCCTTTGGTTATCCTTTGCTGACCAATCCATTCTCAATTGTATATATTATAGTCTGGTGTACTAGTGTGGTCCTTTCAGATTTACTTCAACGTAATTTATGCCTGAACTTAGCTCTTTTCCCAGCTTACTTCACTCATGTGTTGTTCCGTCCACCATTCTGTTTTTGCGACGTTGTCATGTCTTGTGGTTTGATATTTCAATATGCCTGCCTTAGCTCTTGTTTATGTGCTATTAATGTTCCTATTCTGGGCTCTCTGAGTATATAATAATACTCTTTATATAATAATTTTCTCTCGTAAAACTTTGAGTTACATGCCCCTTTCTCTTTGTTGACACATGCGTCTACTTTGCTTGCAACGTTTGTCTATTTCATTGAAATTATATGACTGTCGTGGCAGTAAATCATCTAGGGATCCCCACCTCCGTTGCGCCGATTGCACAGTCCCCTGTTCCATGTCGTCGCTGTGCAATCTTTGCCACTCTCTCCCCTCGTGACTTCACTGAATATCTCAGGTCTTGAGAAAACGACACACCCAATGTCCCCAGCCGGCATCCCCAGATGGCCGATCACATAGACACTTCGGAGGTAACCGATCACATCATTATTATCATCTACCACGCCGCAATCTTCACTATTAGAGCAATGCTTCTCCTCCCCAATCATCTACAGTGTTCACGCCCACCGTGTCCGCACCCATGGTCACCTCTTTGTCAATGCCCAGTGCTGCCATCTATCATGCCTCCCGGTTTTCGGCTCCTTCCTTGCACCATATCTGGATCCTGCCTGGGTTCATTGGATGCAATCCATGTACCCGTCATCTGTGGCTCAGGCGGCTCCTGGCGCCTCTTCACTGATCCCGTACCTGCAACTCCAGCCACTGCGGCATCCTCTGCTACTCTGGCAGGCACCTCTACGCAATCATATCAATATGTCCCTGCTGCCACTCACTATGACTATGACTACAACTACGTCACATCTGTCCTTTGTTCCTTTAGAGGACATCACTACTCCTGGTGACCTCATACATGTGGCTCTTACTCTCCCTGGTCTTCCCGCCGCACTTGCCGCCGCACTTCCCGCCGCACTTCTTCTCACGCCAGACATCGGTCCCGTAGTTGTTCCCCATTTTGCCGGCAACACAACTATCCATCAGACTCTTATGTGAGCTCAGTTGGTTTGTCCTTTAAGTTGACCATCCTGGAGTTGGACACGCACCTGGGGCTTAATCAAGTCCTGGATTGGATGGAGGACCGGTTGGCTTCGGTCCCTCCCTCCCCGGATGTTGATAAAAAGGACACTACTTGGTCCTCTCTTTCGTCCACCCCGCCGGATCCCAGGTTCCACCCTTGGCAATCTGGGCTGGAATTATGGAGTTGTATTGTGATTGGACTAACGAGTTAATGCATAGTCCAATTACAATAGCATAAATCGAAATCGACATCCGCTTTGTAAACTGCCGTGCACATTTTGGTCAATTGCAGGATTTGCAAAGCATGTGTACTGACAACTTAGCCTCAACAGATATTTTCCAAATCTGTTCATGGTTTTAATCAAGATGCTCATGTAATTTGATGCACCCTGCAAAATAGGACCTGATTTCTTAAAATATAGATCTTGATTATCGATCTGATCATCTTCACTGGGCAACACCATTTTATTTGAAGCCACTGCAAGTGATATGAGAGGTAGAATCTGATTGGTCAATAGGAGGGACATATAAGGGACAATACTTGTACTAGCCTCTGGTGGTGCAATGATTGAGCCCAGAAATTCCAGTCTAGTTCTAGTAGCCTAGAAACTTTTACAGTCTCTGGAAGATGGACCTTACTGAGGACAATCCTAGCTGGGTCGATCATTTTGGTACTATAATGTCTTTTCAACAGCATCAAATTGACCATCTACGTAATCTCCAGTCGGCCTTGGCGGAGATCATCACCACCAGGTGCCTCGGTTATCTTGCCTTAATGGATTGGGTTTCTGAGTTCAAAAGGCAACTCCTACGTCAGCCTTGGAGTGCATCCTCGCTCTTCAATGGCGCCATCTCTTGATGAAATGGTGCTTAGGCTCTGGAGCATGTCTCCAATCTATCCAAATTCAAAGGCCAAGGTCAAGCCTGTTCGCAGCTACAAGGTAATTCTGGAGGACCAGACCGCCTTCAGGCTGAGGTCAAACGATCAGCACCAGTAGCACATCAACAATCACATCAACATCACGGTTGTCTGGTGTCTTCACAACTAGGGGACACCTCACTCGTCATCCCTACTGTCTCGGACCTTCAGGTTCTTTCAGTTTGTGGATTGACTGTACTTGAGGTTCATCATCCAGCGCAGATCCCAAGTTGTCACAACATCTTGGCAGACACACTCTCCAGACAAGACAAAGTGGCTCCCACGGAGTGAATGCTCCATCCCGATGCCTTCACCCTCGTGTGCCAGCGGTTTGGCCTGCCACTGATTGACCTATTCACCACCAGCCAGAATTATCAGCTCCAGACCTACATCTGCCCAGTCTCAGACCCTCTGGCTTGGGCATTTGAAGCCTTCAGCGTTCCCTGGTCCATCTCCACCAGGACCTTAGTGCCAAGTGCTACTCAGCCAGGGC